AGGGAGGGGGTAACAAGTTTGACTTATGTAACTGTATACCACAAAATGAAAATAATATAGAAAACATTAAAAAATAATTCTGTGCAAACTACAGATCAATAAAGAAGATACCAAGTAATTCATAAACAAGGGAAATTTCACAGATATTTCATGACATTTGCTATAGTAACTCTTGTTGGCAATAAAAGTAATAATTATGACGTTGAAAAGTTAACTGCAAATAAGGGAAACCATGGGACCTATGTTTCTTTGGGCTCAGCTTATTTTACTTAATATAATTTTTTCCAGGTCTTTCTATTTCATAACAAATGGGCAATGTCATTCTTTCTGGTGGAGGCATAGAATTCCAGTGTGTATATATACCACATTTTCTTGATCCATTCATCTACTGAGGGGCATCTGGGATGGTTCCATATCTAAGTTATGGTAAATAATGCTGCAATAAACACAGTTGTGCTGGTAGCTTTAGTGTAGTCTTGTTTGTGATCATTCAGATGATTTCTTTGTTGCTTTGTATGTCCCTCCCCCATGGTATAACCCCTGTTTTCACTGTATTTGATATTGGTATAATTTGTGGAGGGGAAGGGAATAAACAAAATGTTTAAATAGGGATACAGGTGGACCCATTGCAACAATGAGATGTACAAGACTTTATGTTGAAAAATGAACTTTACAACTTTGGCATGGGCGGGGGATGAGGGGGATAGGAAGGAATGGGAAGGGGAAACAAAGGAGGAGGCTACAATGCTTGATAAGAAATGTACTCATTACCTTTCTCATGTAATTGTAACCCCTCTGTACAGTATTTTCACAATAAATAAATAAATAAATAAATTGGGACAATGGCTAAATGTTAAAAAAAAGAAAAGTTAACTGCACATTGCATTCTATGGAACAACAGCTGTGAAATTTCTTGCAAAGAAATTATTTTGTCAAAATTTCCAAATAAAGAGAAAAATGTTATCATCCTAAGCAATCTCAACACATTTTATGAAATAGATCAAAATCACGTTGCATTAAATAACTTAATATGCAAATGGCACAGATTTTGTTAAATTACATAAGCAGCAAGGATCAACTTTATACTCTTATAAAGGACCTATTTATTAAAGCAAAATAAATTAAAAGTAAAACTAGGAAATAGATCTTACAGAAGAGAATGAGCTCGGTACTGGTTTCTCACTCCTACTTTCCTGCTTATTTGGAAGACTGGAAATGGTGGGATCAAGGTTTGAGTTCAGCCCAGTTAGGAAAGTCCACAAAAGTCCATATTAATGGAGGAGAGCTGAATGGGATAGTTTCTATAATTCTAGTGACAACAAGAAATCTAAAAGTAAGCAGGCCCACCCCTGTGCGGGGAGAAAGACCTTACCTCAAAAAGAATCAGAAAAGCAGGAGTCAAGCGTGGCTCGGCGGTAAAGCACCAGCCTAAGAAGAACAAGGACTCAATATTGCCAAAAGAAAGTAAATAAGTAGATAAGGAAATAAATTGGAAAGCAAGATGCAAGGGCAATGTAAATATGAAGAGGTATGTTTCAGAGCAATAACTCTTAGCAAGAACAGTAACAGTAATTTATGAATAAGACTCCAATGTACCAACAAGAATTTAAAAACAAAACACATAAAAAAAACAAACAGGGGGCTGCTTGGGAAGGTGGTTCAGTGGTAGAGTGCTTGTCTTGCATGCATGAGGCCCTGGGTTCGATTCCTCAGCACCACATAAGCAGATAAAGCCAGAAGTGGCGCTGTGGTTCAAGTGGTAGAGTGCTATTGTTGAGCTGAAGAGCTGAGGAATAGTGCCCAGGCCCAGAATTTCAGGCCCCATGAGCAACAACAACAACAAAAAGCACCCCCACCCCAAGTGTAGTTTTACCTAAATACAAATCTGGGTAGTGAAAGTTAGCATTGCATTCATTCAAAAATAATAAATACTCCCTAATGAATTTAAGAAATTATGTTAAAGATGTGTGTACTCTGAAAGCTACAACACATTATTGAGAAAAATTAGAGATATAAGCAATTGGAAATATGTACAAAGTCAATTAATAAATCTGAAAGTTCAGAAATGATAGATATAAAGTCAACCTGGTTCATCTATAGATGCAACAGAATTCCAATCAGATTCCCAGACATTATTTTTGAATAGGCAGAAAAATAGGAAAAGGAGCAAGCTTGAAAATATTATATTACTTCAGAAATTAGTATAGTTTCCAATGTATAAAACTAAAATAATACAGATAGCATGATATTTTGAAGAGATGTACTTATAAATGTGTGAAACCATATTTAGAGTTGATTATAAACCTCCTCATAAATGATCAAGTAATTTCTGATAAAAGCAGAATAATGGTAAAATGGCAAATTTCACAAATATACTACAGTAATTGAATATGTACATAACAAAGTAACTAATTCTAACTTTTACCTTACAAGAATACTAAAAAAAATAAACTTCATATAGATTATAAAGATAAGTGTAAAAACCAACCTATAGGAATTTTATCCGAAGAAACATCCCTTGTCATCTGAAGTTAAGCAACATTATGTTAGAACATACAATATAACAACCCTAAAGACACAATTAATTGGTCTTCTTTGCAGCTATATTCTTGTCATTTAATAATCAGGAAAATATAAAAGGAATCCCTATTCTAAAGCACTATGTGCTGCTGGCATGGTTGTATACCCCTGTAGTTCTACCATCTTGGGAAGATGAATTGGAAAGTATCACTTACTTAAGCCCATGAATTTGAGACCAACATGAGCTGCAAAAGAAAGAAAAGAGGTTTGTATGCAGTATACATAACAATTTTGTAAGTGATGCTTCAAACCAAAAATCTAGTTTAAAATGGAGGAAAAGTCACGAGACCCATCAGCAAAGAAGTATATAAGCCATTTGAATAGCCAATAAGCACATAAAAGATACTAAATGTTATTAGTGATCAGGCAATTATTACCATATACACAGAGTAGCTAACCCTGAAATGAGTGTATACACCAATGCTGGCTAGACTTTGGAGCAACTAAAATGCTCAGGAAAAAAAATCTTCATATTATGTGTCTTACCTTGGATAAATATTTACTTATTGTTTATTAATTTTTTGAAACACATGTTTCTCTATGAATCTCAGTCTAGCCTTGAAAACTCATTATGTAACCAGGCTGGCCTTGAATTTATGATTTGCCCTGCTTTAATTCTCTGAGTTCTTGGATTTCAGGTGTGCACCATTATACCTGGCAAGTTTAGTAATTTATTATTGTTTTGTAGATTTGAACTCAAGACCTCATACTTGCTAGCGAGTACCCTACCTCTTGAAGCAAATTCCCAGCCTTTTGTTTTAGTTTATGTTTAGAAATGGTCTTGAACTTTTTAATCTTGGTCAGCCTCTGAACACAACCCTCCTATCTATTCTTCCTGGGCCTCCCACTCAGCTGGGATTACAGGTATGCACTACTATGCCTAAGCTAGTGGCTTCTTAATGTTCATCTACCATTTTTAGATACTTGTTATAGAATAATTGGCATGCATGTTCACCCAAAGATCAAACACAAATTCTTCTTCTCTTTCACTCATAATAATTGTGAATTCAAACAGTCCTTATGCCTATGAACTCTTCAGTGGATAAATACCTTTTTGTGCATGGGATATATTAGTAAGCCACAAAAATAAATGGGCTATAGATTTAGGCAACATGAATGTTGAAAGTATTATTTAAAACAAAAGAATCCAGATACAAGTAGCCATTGGCATGGTTGGCTGTTTTTCCTCGGGAACACGAAGAGGATGTGACTTGATGAATTTGCTCTAGGCACTATGGCTTGAAATTGCAGAATTTTTAGCTACAGATGAGACGGCTCCTGCTAGTACTTTTTATTTGCTTTCATGATCTGAAACTGCTCCCTAACTTTATTAGCTTAATTGAATTTCCTGAGAAGATTGTGGAATATTTTTTATGAATAATGTACTGAACTATGTATCATACACAAAGGATGTTTTTGGCTAAATTAAAACTTGAAAGTGATGATTCACTTGGTTATTTGAGGTATATAACACTACTACTTATTGATATTTATGTAGTGTCTTGATTTACATATCTTTAGGGCATAGATTTTTAAATACAATGTAGCAATTTGAAATCATCTGAGTTGTAGTAATTGAAAATGTTATTCTGGGAAAGAGAGCAGGGTTTCACTGTAGACAGTGTTCAGTGTTTGAAATGGAAATCTATGGCTTCAGGAGAACTGATTATAAATTTGAATTCCAGCTTTATCCTCCACTTGGATGATACTGAACAAGAAATGAACAATACAGAGACTTATGTTCACCTGTTTTTTTCAGGTTGTTGTGAAAATCAAGTGAAATAATGTTAGTGGGAAGATTTTGGAAAACATAAATCCATATGCTAAACCATAACATACTAGACTTTAAATTTTTCTTTTTTTAATGGGAATTGGTACTGGAGTTTGAGCTCAAGACTTTTTCACTCAAGGCTGGAATTCTACTACTTAAGCCACAGCTCTACTTCTGGCTTTTTGGGTAATTGGAGATAAGAGTCTCATAGACTTTGCCTGGACTGGCTTCAAACCATTATCCTCAGATCTCAGCCTCTTGAATAGCTAGGATTTCAGGCTTTGAGACACCGGCTCCCAGCTTGCATTGTTAATTTCTAATACAGTGATTTGACATAATTCAACTTGATGCCTAGATACGATAAAGTTTTATTACTAACATTGCTCCAGCAAGAACAGGAAAAGCTAGAAGATGATAACACATATACTTCAAGTAAAAGACAGCCTGAACATAGCTTGGGGAGGTAGAGAAATGACACTTGCTCAGGGAAGAGGGTCTGGAATGTAATACTTTCATTATTTTCTAAATTGTTTTGTTGTAAAGGTGCTGTACAGAGGAGTTACAGTTACATAAGAAAGGTAATAAGGCCGATCATATGTGAAACCTGGGAAAGGTACCTGCATATGACTGGGCTGCTGATCTAGAAAGATCATTTCTTGTTCAAGTAATGATGGCGTTTAAGCAGACACCGAAAAAGGATTGGTACAGTATTTTGGGAGCAGACCCATCTGAAGATGTGGCTGACCTAAAACAAAAATATCAAAAACTTGTATTAATGTATCATCCAGATAAACAAAGTACAGATGTGCCAGCAGGAATGGTGGAGGAATATATACAGAAGTTCATCAACATTGATCAGGCATGGAAAATTCTAGGGAATGAAGAGACAAAAAAAGAGTATGACCTGCAGCGGCATGATGATGAGCTACGAAATATGGGACCAGTAGATGCTAAAGTATATCTTGAAGAAATGTCTTGGAATGAAGATGATCATTCCTTTTCACTGAACTGCCGGTGTGGTGGAAAATATACCATCTCCAAAGATGAAGCAGAAGATGTTAACCTGATTTCTTGTGATACATATTCACTAATTATAGAACTCCTTAATTACAGCTAAACTTGTTCACTGCTTGGAACCCTTTAGCAGAATATTCAGACATGATAAGAAGAAGCCACGCAAACTCCAAGGAAATGAACTCTTAGTTTGGTCCACAAAGAAAATACAAGACCATCAAGCAAAGGCCACCTCAGACTAATATAAAATTGTTTATATGTACTTATAATTTATATTTACATGTTCCCATAAAAGGACTTGGATTATAAATTATATTCAGAGCAGTCCCCAGATGGTGACTTTTATTTCTTGTTAAAGAAAATAATTATTTTTCTTAACATAAACATATCTCTGCAATTGGCAAAGTGCTTCTTTGTAGTTACCTTTTCAGATCTAAGAGATGATGGTTTTTAGCTGCCAAAGTTATGCTGCTGTAGACCTATCCCTTTCTAAGGTCATCAGAATGAAATTAGAATCTTGGTAATCAACATGAGAGTCTAGTTGTCCCATATAAAAGGCTACATATTGATATATGTGAAATTAAAAGTGAAGCAGGTAAGTTGGCATCTGTAGAAAGATAGGTAAACGTTGGAGTCAGAAGTTTGGGAGCACAGCCATTATCACCTTCATATATAATTTAGGAAATGGAAGCTTTAAAATAATTATTTGCCATTGGGCATCTCTCTTTTTTGTGTCAGAGCTTTAAGATACAGAATCAATTGTCTGTATGTATAAACAAACAACTCATCACTGATATAATGAATTGTACTTTTTTCAATGAATCATTGACTGCAACATATTGTGGATGCTATACCCTTAAAGAATTATTTTATATGTACTCAGCATTCTCTGAACAGTATAAATCAAGAGTTCATTTAAAGAACTTTGAGGATCCTCTATGTGATCATTGAAACATTTTAATATAACTTTAGGGACAAGAGATTATTTTCATTGCATCTATTCCAAAATTTAAAATATGAGGTAATTATCTTCTTCCCCCTTCCATTATTTGTATTTATAATCATAAAATGTAGATGGAATATTTATTTGGGATTAGTTTCTTTTCCTTTTTTTTTAGGTAAGGTCTCACTGTGTAGCTGAGGCTAGCTTTAAATTCAAGATTTTTCCTGCCTCACCTCCCAGTGCTAGATTACAGGTGTTCAATACTGCCTGGTGCTTGGGTTACATTTGTATCCAAATATTAGCTAGTATAACTTGAATAATGTGTTGCTATCCTTTGCATTTAGCAAGTAAAATAATTAAAACTGAATTGCAGATAGTTTATTGGCAAGTTCCTGGTTCCAGCTGCAGTATAAATTCACTTGAACAGGAGACAATAATCAAGTCAAAAAGAATAAGTGTTTGCTAATCATCAGAAAATCTTTCAGTATTTGGGCTGTCACGCAGAAATCCAAAATCACTCAGGGGCCAGATCTATAAAATCAAATATATTTGAAAACAATTAATAACTGTGATACTGCAATATTATGTTTTTTCCTATTCCTCATAAGAATTTATGAATATGTGTGTTTTATAATCCTCAAGAGTTAACTGTGCCTTCCAAGTGTTTGAATATGATACCAAAAGTGCTTGAATATAGCTAATGTAATTTGAATTTGTTATATAAAATCTCAAATTCCTATCTATAAAAGTAAGAGAGAAGAGGGAATAATGTTTTCTGTAGAGCTATGAAGTAAAGATATGCTCACTAAAATATAGTCATTGTAACAGTTAAGTCAACTATCAGCTGGAGCACTTTAGAGAACAAAAACCCTCATAACAGAAAAATAAAGCTTTATAAAAGAAAGGTAATAAGTACATTTCTTGTCATTGTTATTACCCACTCTGTTTTTCTCCCACTTCCTACTCCACTCTTCCCCTTCCATTTCTCCCCCCACCTCCTGCAAGTTGTAATAAGTACAGAGTGGGAAATGGGAGGAATGGAACATGGAAAAACAGGAGTCTAACCACAAAATGCCTTGAAAGCCAGGCTGAATAGTTGTAGACTAGTAGATGAGTAGTAACACTATCACTGTTTACTAGGGAAAGGTATTTGACATTGTAGAAAGGAAAGTGGAGGCCACGGGGAATGGAAAGCTGATTGAAAGGATGGTGCTTTTACCGAGTTTTTCCTGGGGATCACCCTGTCTTTCCCTAAGATCAGAATCCCTGAAAATGTTACAGAATCAGGGAAGACCGGACAGTTTGAAAAAAAAAGTCAAGAGGAAAAAAGACACAGTGAGACTTGGTCTCCATATTTATATGCTAAGACTTAAAACCTCCACCTTCCTTTCCTGCAATGCTGCAGACATTTGCAGTATAAATAACCAAAGGTATTTATTTCACAGTGTACCATTTCCGCAGGCAGCATGGAAACCCTTAGTCCAGCAACTGCAGTGCCTTTTGTTCAACAGATTTTTTAATGAGTTTGTGAAGGACTTAATAACCTTTGAAAATCAATTTAGTCTTGTCATGAAACTATACCTTCAAAAACAAACAAACATACAAAAAACAACATATAGCAGTGCTCAATTAGACATATTACAAGCAGAGAATTACCTGAAGAAATCAGGTAACAAGTCAGCTTGATTCTTGTCTCCTCTGACTTTGCTTGAATTCAGCCACTTTCTTTTAGAAGGCAGAAGGTACTTGTTCTCACCCAGAAAATAGTCCAAATCCCTCCATTCATAGATAATGGTGTTCTGAATAATTGTACAGAATGATAAAAAAAAAGGGCTTTCTACCATAGTGTGTACACGGACATCACGGGAAACATTATACTAGAAATGTTCAATATTTTGTTGCAAATGGTCATATCAGATTGTGATAGCAATCTTGTAGGTGAGAACTGTTATTGTAACCAACTTATAAAGAAATTTGATTTTCAGAGAACATTTAAGAAAATGCATACCCAGAATCTGACAAATAGTAAATTATAGAGTTAGAATTAGAACTGGGCTGCCTTATGCCAGAGTCCACATCTCAGCTCTTGTGGTATTCTGCTTCAGTTGGAACAGCTCTAACTTCCGTCATAAAACTTCATGCTTGTGACATTGAATTTCAGTTAAATGTGCCTAAGTCTCTCTTTCTGCCAAAAGGAGATGATGGCATCTAAAATGGTTACACAGACTTGATCCTGACAGGGATAAGTTAATTAATGATAGCTAATATAATTCTTAAAGTTAAAATAAAGACAACTTTTGTATCTTGTTATTTAGAAATAATGGGGGGAGGGGAAAGACACATACAATAAAGGTTTTCACAGGTAAATTTAAGAGAAGAGATGGCACAAGTGAGAAACACATGACTGGAAATAAAAAACGAGAGAGAGGTTGAACTTTTAAGAACTGTATCAGAATTGATGGTGAGTGTTAGGAGATGAACAGCAAGCAACAAAACTAGAAATACAGCCAAAGATTCCATTAAAGAGAACTTGGGTCCCATTTTTGTTCGTGGAAAATCCATTACAAAGCTTATCATGAAGAAAAGGCCCTAAATATTTGTACTTTAAAAATAGATGGAAACCAGGTGGATGGTGAGTTTGAGTGGAAAATGGTAGGAAAATAAGCTGGCCATGATGACATGTTTAAGGACAATTAGTTAAGGGCTCACCTGTGTAAGTGGCTTAACGTTTCATATAATATCTCATTTAATACATTAACCAAGATCATTTTTTACAATAAACCCATAAGGTCATATTCAGTAAAGCCAACTTCATGCTGCCCTCTCCACAATGCCCCAGTTTGGCCTTTATGCCATGTGGTTAGCCAAGTCAGGCAGCATTTTTACCCTGAATAAAGGTAAGGGAAAGTTTCAGGAAGTCGAAGCCCTGATGAGATGCAATATTCAGTAAATGTGTGGGGGAGGAGTGTGTGTGTCTGTGTGTCTGTGTGTCTGTGTGTCTGTGTGTCTGAGTGTGTGTGTGTGTGTGTGTGTGCATGTAGAAGCTTGAACTCATGACCTTGTGCTCTCCCTTAGCTTTTTCACTCAGGGCTAGCACTCTATCATTTTATCCACAGCTTTACCTCCAGCATTTTGCTGGTTAATTGGAATGAGGAGCCTCCTAGACTTTCCTATGTTGGCTGGCTTCAAATCAGAATCCTCCACTCTCAATCTCATGAGTAGTTAGGATTAAAGACTGCAGTGATTGTTGCCCAGCTCGGATTCATTTTTATTCATTCATTATGGACCTTCAAGCTAGTGCTTATTAAGATTTGGAAGAGCCAAGAGCCATTATCTAATCTGGCAGACACAGGTACAATATGTCCAGGATGTAGACACATAGAGGCTATGGATCACATCCTGGAAGTCTGTACCCCTACTCTCCTATCTGTACCCTTGTAAGCAAACTTTGGCCCATGTTAATGTATGTGCTTTACTTTTCTTGTGAAAAAATATTTATTGTTTCTTTAATAGTAACAGAATTGGGAGCTCTTTCTCTGAAATAATCTCTAAGAGGCCAAAACCCAAAGGAAGTGAATCATTGTATTCTCTGGTTTGTTAAAAATTGAAAAGAATATAATTTTTTAAGACGTTTGTTTTCAGGAGCCAAATGCAAGACTGTATAAATATTGCAAAAGTTCAGTCTTCTATCCTTGTTCTAATACATTCATGTCAAACAAGGTTTCCAAAGGATGGTATAAAGGAAACAGGATAGGAAATAGATTTTAAACGAGCTCTGATGGATGCTGTGGCAGAGAAAAAAGCATTTCAACATTAAGTTTAAAATATTGTTAATAATAAAGACATAAAATAAAATGCTGAAATGTATAGAAGGAACCAGTAATTTTTATAAATTAATGACAAAATCAGAACTTAAGTCTTCTTTATCTTTTTCATTTCATCCATTAAAAAATATTGAAAAGACATGCTTCGGTATTAACTCTCATGTTTGATAGAGGCCATTATCCCTGAAAAGGGTGAACTGTGAATGTCAGAACACAGCCAGGCCTGTCTATATTTTGTTCACAGTGTTTCCAAGGCAAAGTATAACTGGACAAAGTAAATATTCATGTAATGAATCATGGAATAAATTAACTGATAAAGTAACTATATTGTTGCTGTGTTGGTTTCTGTGAACAAAATATAGATTTCAACCACATGATGGAGCCATCTTACAGCTATTTGAGAAGTAGCATTAAAAAAAAATCCAGTAACCCAACATTCTTTCATTTCAGAATGTATTAAGTCCAGGTTTGTTAAGAACATTTCAGTTAATTTACTTGGCATATCTACTCAGTGTAATGCCTATGTAAAAGGTAAACTGATCATTAGATGAAAGTTGACGATATAGGACAGAAATCTGGGCCAGTTTACTTGTGTCAATTTAATGAGGATGAGGGATACCCTAATCCAAACAACGTTTACTTTCTGGTTGGTAGACATATGCTACAGCTTTACCACTTGTCACTTTGCGGCCTGACAAAAACACCCCCAAATAGCTGAACCAAGACGACAGCTTCATGATCTCTTAAGGTCTTCAAGACAAATGTTTTGAAGTATTAAGCTTCTACATTTCCACATTAGCTCAGATTAAGGTCAGTCATTGAACTGGGGCCTGAGATATACAATACAAATCTTGTGACTGAGGTGGGGGATAAGAGCAGATTGTGACCATCCTCAGAGCTGATGGCTCTCCTTTAGTTGAAATCCCCATGTTCAATAATGAGGAGGGTAACTGAGGGGGGTTTCAGTGTCTCCATTTCACAGTGTCTTTATTTCACACAGTCTCAGAGTTGGCATTTTGCTTTTTGTCTGGGGCTTTCTGCATATTTACCTTATTTCCAAATACGCGCCCACACCCGCTTTGCACAAACACATTTTGACTTCTCAAAATCTGTAGCTATGAAATCCACCCTCATATTGTACATGGTGCCATAAAAATTAAGAGATAAACAATATCGCCAATCATCAATATTACTGCATATGTGCCCCCTGAGGAAAGAGACTTTAGTTTCTTCTTTCAAGTAAATGAGCTGACTGAGGATCCATCTTTCATCCAAGACAGAATTCATCTAAGACAGAAAGAAATACTTTGAACTTCAAACCACTTTGGATATTGACACCTTTCATTATTCCTATAAGAGATCCCTGTCAGGTGAGTGGAATGAACAAACACAAGTAACTCATTACTGGGTTACTGGGACAAGTAACTCTTCTGCGCTATGTGCAGGCTGTATTTTGGACGTTTTCTTTGTTTCTCTTCAGGAGTCTCTTATAGGCTGGCAAGGGGAAGAGAATAGG